ACCTACCTCTGCAAAGTATAAAACAATGACAGTTCCATAATCCTTGTTAGATGGTCTTGGGTATGGTGAATGTTTATGGAAGGAGATTGTTCAAATCCTTATTACAACAGCATCACAGCCATGTGAAGATCCGGGTTAGAATTGATCTTCAGGAACCCATGCTTGTCGTAAGAGGCGACTAACGGGATCGGGTGGTCAGGCTCACTGACTTGGTTGACACATGTCATCGTGTCCCAGTTGCGTAGATCGATGTTCTTGCTGTTGATCACTGGAATTGTCTGGTCCAGACTCGATTATTTTCAGACCGCCGCCTTACAGCTGAGATATTGCTGAGTGCGGCGTAAGCTAAACTCACTCACTCACTCATGTCACCAATCGGAGCGTGTCAGTTAACGGCGGGAGGCAAGTCCAGTGACGCAAGATGTGGACCTGTGTTGTGCGGCCAATACAAGAGTTATTTCCCTTTACACCTCAAGTATGATTTTTTTACCCAGATTGTTCAATCCTTTACGAAGAAACTAAATTCTAAACTATTTATATATTCAAAGTTTGGAAGGGCTCAAATCGATGTGTCTTTTTACCCATTAAGAAAATACCTACAGTGGCTTTATTGAAAAAATATTTCAGATTGAGTAGAACCTGCGCACGTTAGAGCAAGAGCTGTTCTCAAATGCGGTAAAAATATGTTTGGCAAGAATTACCGGCAGTGAATTTCATGATGCTGTGTGTGCATAAATGAATAAGCATCTCAGAATTTTCATGAAGCTACAAATAACAGAGGATATTTTTCTGAAACAAAGTATATTATACAGCATCGGTTATACAATGAACTATTCAAATGCTCGCCATGTAACTGCGTACATTCCCTCTAGCGAAATGGACTCCATGACTTGACCATGGTGTTCGAGACGACCAACGGCAATCAACACTTGGCTGAACATTTGTTACGTGACCCTGACGGCGTGGGTTGGTGTTCATGCGATCACCCACTGGGTTGCCTTACCACCCTGTTATTGACAGGTCACATGTTAAAGTTCCAATGTGAACGTGTCGTAAAACAACATTCACATACTCTTGTAACACATCCCATCGGCGACAGAATCGTAAAGGCTGTGGTTTGTAGTGACGTGCTACTGTAACTCGCTCCATGTGTTGTAATCTGCTACAAATGTCCCTCTACTCTGTGACATGTGCACAAGCTGTGTTAATTGTAGTACTTACCAGTTTTAGGAATGCTAATTGCATGTGTGTATTTGTGTTGAGTGTTTGTTAGTGTGTTGAAGATCATACGCACTGGCGAGCAAAGCAAGATTTTATTCTCATTCTAAATTAACTGTAAAATGGTTCCGCATGATTATATCTTTAAATATGATTTGATTTAAGACTTTTAAAATTCAGAAAAAAACATAATGCAGTCTAATGATAGATATCTTAGGCATTAATTTTCATCTTTGAAAATCAGTATATTTGCTATTTTCTGCACAGTTTTACAGCATTTCAAACAGGAGCCTGAAATTCATTTCTTATCCTAGTTTTACTTGAACCATATTGTTTTCAAAAAGGGACTTTAAGTGATTCCTTGTTCATCAGGCTGTATCTGTCAAATCATGGCCCATGATCTCACTCTAAAGTTGCATTGACGGTGGACGTTTTCGTTTTTAATTCACCTGAATGAACGTCAAGTGAGCTTATGTCGTAGCATTGCCCGTCTGTCACTAAAACGTATGACATGTTCAACGTCGCCTCCGAAACTACCCGTTCTTTTTGGCTTAACGTTTGTGTGAATGATACTGACTATGGCGTCTCTAAACTGTAATCAAATATTATGATCCAATATAAACAGAGAAATTACAGCGGCCATTTTGAAAATGTCATTTTGCAAATTGATAGAGAAGCCGACGTGTGGTACGTCTGGCACGTCCAACCACTGCCTCGCTGTTTTAGTGGGACTACGTTTTATACATTTCCTCCACCCATGGAGATGATATGTCTGAATAATCCCACATCTGGTGTCTCCACAAACTCCAATCAGACTTTTAACATGTCTGATATTACGTCTTCGAAATTCGGAGGACTTGTGGAGTTTTGTTGTTCAATCTTTCACCTCGGAAGGAATATTGTTATCCATGTTGAGTAATGAAATTTATCATCCAAAATTGTGTTCCACAGTAGATATCACTTGTGATATCTCCAGATCTGACAGTAGATTTTGTACAATGCCCTATTGACAATGATATTCCAAGGCTAGAAAGCGAATATATGACAGGGTGTATCAATGTGGACGAACGTATAATGACAGAAATATACAGTTGATAGTCAGTGCAACAATATATGAGGAGGACACCTTTGATCTGAGTTATCTTACTATAATGATTTAAAGAAAAGAAGTTATTTGAACATATACCACTGACTAATTATGTATAGAATTATCAACATGATTTTTTTAATACGATATAGATATTTATGTAACATAACAACGTATGGTATTTATTTACAACTTCTTTATTATTTCCAACACGACGTTTCTGGGCTACTTCTTGCGCCTTCATCATTCAACTGATGAAGAGGCAAGAAGCAGCCCAGAAACGTCGTGTTGTAAATAATATAGAAGCTGTAAATACATACCATACGTTGTAATGTTACCATTCAACTTCTAAATGCCCATCAAGCATCTGTTTATGTAATGTTTTCACGCATGTAATCAAATATATGTATTTTGGTGTAAACTATGATATTTAGTGTTAATTATTATAGTTGTTTGTTGACGCCTACGACATGTTTTGAACCTTTACCGGGCGACGTATTGCCAAGAATGTCTGTGTAAGCTAGCTATTTTGAAACTGACTATACATATTTGATTACACTCTCGTATCATTTATTACTTGAGTTCCTGGGCAAGTGACCCAGGGCCATGTCATGTACGTATTAATCACAGCACGTGTCCGATATGGCCCGGGTCAGCAGAATTAATTTCATTATTTAGAAATTAATAATAACCTTGTCAATGTATGTTTGCTTGGACAACACACGTCCTGTTTGTATAATATTACACCCGTACAATGTCAGTTCTCACTTGGGAGGATGTCACAGGCATCACAGAATCGAAACAAACATGCGCACTTCAGATTTTGGAGTTAAGGAGAGGAAATATAGATCGCAACCGGGAGCACATATCCTTGAGTGAAATCGATTGCCAACAACAATAGCAAGCGTCCCGTCGATCCCCGATATAACGAGACACGCTCAAGTTGTCGTCGTTGAAAAAACTCAGTGAGCGGTATTTGGAGAAGCAGGTTGAAGACAATGGAGGATTAGCTGGTCAGTTGTCCGATCTGCCAATCGCCGCGGGATGAACTCACCTCAAAACAACTGAAGTAATTAAATACGTGAGAGACGAGGTCAGGACAATGTTCTACACACGGTATCCCGTTAATGGCCTGTCACGCCCTGGATGACCACGTGACGCCGAGGAGACGATTTCATTGGATGTTGACATTGTTCGGGAATGCGCTGTTCTATTTTCATTCACACCTGTATTGGGAAATAATACGTGGACTTCGCCATCAACATGCTTCGTGATGGCGACGTGAGTTTGTGACATGGAGTTGTACCCTATCTAAACCTACCCTGACATGGATTGCCGACAAGCGCTTGCGAGTTAACACCACCTGGATCATCAGAGCCAACGCCGGGACTCAGGTGTGCATGAAGCCACTGCAACCATGGACGAGTTATTCGCGACAAACACGGGACCACCGGCGACCGCTGGCGATGGAGCGTTTGAGAGATTTCTTACAGCAGCTATTGCTGCTATCATTACTATTATGTTCTCATGGAGGTTACTCGCTACGGAGGAGAATGTTGGGGTGGGGAAGGTGCTGTGGGTGGGGCCCCTGTGTCCGTGGGGAGGGAAGTCCCCAAAGTTGTCATGAAGAAAGCCATTAAAATGGCAAAGGCTGCTGGATACACAGAAGAAAGTAAACAACTGGAAAAGGAACGGGGGCTCAGTGAGGAAGGTAAGAAAGATGATATAATCGGTAGCGGCTCAGGTATAAATACTGTGACGTCACCTGACCTACTTAGTGAACAGCTTATTACGTGCTGGGAAGAGAGGCCAAGATTAAATGACGACGAGGAGGGACTGTTAGAGAGGACAGAATTAAAGGGGCTCTCTACTGAGGCAGATATGGATCTAGGGGTTAACGGATTTTCCAGGGGGAACCCAGAATATAGGGACATTCTTGATGACGACAGGTACCGTCCCTTTGAAGGAGGGGCGGAGTTCGGGGACAACATTGAACCACGTGAATTAGATTCCGACGAGGAAATGTATTGTGGCACAATGCTTGAAACTATAATGGAGGAAGATTCGGATGACATGTGCAGCACCAGTACAGGCAGTGATGTCGATTCATTAGGGAGGACTGGGGAGTTTGGGTACTATGAGCTTAACGCCGAGGGGGATTATGAGGGGGATCATACTGAGGAAGGGGGTTGCACGGTGCACGTGATGGAGGATGGGTCTGAACTCAGTACTAATGTGATAACTATTGCTAGTGGTGCTACATGGCACGTAAGCGATGAATTCGGTGACAGTGTTTCGTATGACGAGACAGATATTGCTAGTTCTCGTGGGGGTGCAGACGACAGTTATGATGCGCAGAGAAAGAGTGCGCTGCTTCCGGGTGATACAGCAGACGATAGCAATTCTGATGGTAGCGACGAGTCTGTGGTAACTGTTGTAACTAGGCAACTATCTGAGGAGAAAGAAAGCCCTATAAATTCACAAGAATTCAAGCTTTACAAACACAGGCCAAATCGAAATTGTCCCCGTGAGAACACGCGCAACAAGTCAAGTTTTAAATGTTTCGCCCGTATCCGTTCAGTCCACTTTCCAGGCCTTACAACCCGATGAACCGTATCCGACTGACGATCTACACTCGCCCGCTACCACATCAGGCATTGACGAGGGCTTACAAACTGAAAATTATGCAGAAGCAACCGATATGCCGTCACCTTCACAGGACTCAGGGATCTATTCGATTGAAACTCGAGTAGACAACGAGCAAGTCCGCGGATCGCTCGAGGGTATTGACGAACTTGAAGAAAAGTTCGATATCAACAGTAACGTTGATCCAAGTGCCAAAGAATCAGAGAATAATAGTGCTTCCAGGAATGCAAGCCGTGTGTTGAACATTGAGACAGTGAATAAGGAATCAGTGGAAACTGACGGTTCTGTAAATGAGAATGGAACGAGATTGGACATTGTGTATGGTGACATGAGTGGAGGAGATGATGTGCCTGATTATAAGGATGCCTATGTTTCGTCAGCTGTTGAAAAAACACCTAAAGGGTTTATTTTCTCTCGGTTTGAACTGGAAACCACCGACTACGAGGAGAAGGTGTATACCACAGACAGAGCAACTCACACAGTTGTGGCCAAACTTGTTGCAGAGGAGAAGTTTGTTCCCACCGAGCAGACTGATGCCGATATTCGTGAACAGTTTGCAAATCTGGGAGAAGGGGACAAGATTGAGACATCACCTCGGACATTTGCAAAGGCTGGTTCGTCTAGGGAAACAAACATTGATGAAAACTTTGAAACAGATTCTGGGAGTCGACCTCTTATTCTAAGGCCTGATTCACCAGAGAAGAAACGGACGCATATAGCTACCGAATATAAACAAACAAACATTGCTGACCCTATGGGCGCTACCGAACGCCTTCAGCGCAACCAACATGAAACAAATATTGATGATCATGATGTGGTTAGATATCAAGACGCAGCAAGCCATGAAACAAACGGAATCACAAAACATTCATTAACTATGACAGGGTCTGCTGCTCCTCCCGAGAAGTTCCTAAGGATGGATAAGACGGATGGGTCCCGGTCCCATCGCATTGTGCCACTGACTAAGGAGACTTCTGATGCTGACAGAGTGATGAAGGCTGATGGAGGCAAATCTCGGGAGACAAACATCGGCGATACAGCAAGCATGGCTAAACGACTTTCATCCATCAGCCAAGGGGAATCTCCCCCTGAGAAAATACTGAGAATCGGCAGCAGCAAATCTCTAGAGACTCTTATTGATGACAGTAAATCGTCAACGGCTCATTCAGGCACAGACAAAGGTCAAGGTCAACTCGGAACAGAGAGAACGTTGACGTTTGTCACTGAATCCCGGGAAACAATAACAGATGCGAGGCATTCTTCCGAGTCTACAATGCCCCCCAAGCAGAGCCAAGAAACAAACATGGTAGAAGACAGACACCATATACCACAGACGCAGTCACGGGAAACGTTGATTGATGACCCCAGTGTCTCCTACCCTAAACAAGGAACTAGTAGCATCCACAGAACTGTGAATGTGCAAGACAGTGGTCATGGGCCCCGTGAAACACTTATTGATGATGTAGCTAGCACAGTGTCGCAAGAACTGAACACAAACAGAACATCTAAAGAGACACTCATTGATGATGTTCCAGCGCCCAAATTCCCCACTTGTTTACAAGATCGATCAGGGCAGAAAGAGACATCCAGAAGTAGGGAAACAGTGATTGATGACGTAGTCATCACAAACAAAACATCTAAAGAGACACTCATTGATGATGTTCCAGCGCCCAAATTCCCCACTAGTTTACAGGATCGATCAGGGCAGAAAGAGACATCCAGAAGTAGGGAAACAGTGATTGATGACGTAGGCATCACTGTGTCGCAAGAACTGAAAACAAACAAAACATCTAAAGAGACACTCATCGATGACGTCCCAGTGCTGAAAATCCCCACTAGTTTACAGGATCGAACAGAGCAAAGAGAGACACCCAGAAGTAGGGAAACAGTGATTGATGATGTTGGTAGTACGTCAACTACTAGGTTTATGAATTCAGCACCGATGACAGTTAAATTTCCTGCATATGGATCACGGGAAACACTGATTGATGATGTAGTTCCACAACAGATAGACGAGAAAATCGCCAGAGCTGAGTCCCGTGAATCATTAATTGATGAGATAGACATGGTGTTGTACGGACGTACTGACTACAAGATGAAGCCCATCGAAGTGCCACACGACATTCCTTTCCCTGATAGCGAACCAAGTCAGCAGATCTGGAAACCATCCCATGAAACAGTAGACAGTGGGTTGTTTTCTCATGGTGGACATCGTGAAACCCTCATTGATGATCCAGCTGTTCCAAGCATAGGGCTTAGTAAAGGATCGTCTGTAAAACAGGATACCTTCATGCACATTCCCGGAACACGGGAAACCTTGATTGATAATAAGCGTTTCACATCAACTGAACACAAGTTTGGCCATGCAGGAGTTACAGACATGACTGATGGGACATTGAACGTTGGGACACCAGGAATATATGAAACTAACATTGACGATGTGTCTGAAATAGTACTTCCTGAAAGAGTCTTGAACATAGATCAGGAAAATGTGACACGCTTCAGGAATAGAGCTTCCTTAAATCGAGACGGAAGCAGTGAAGGGTTGGATGAGAGTAATGGAAATGAACTTGATAAAAGTTTTGGTGATGTCACAAACAGAAGTGAGGACATGCTTGACGATGTGTCTGCTGACAAGAAAAATGATGCAGTCCATGAAACAGAGATTGATGCAGACGAAGATGAGGAAGAGTGGGTAGTAGATGAAGTAGTGCAAGACTTTACTATTATGACAGGGCCGGAAGGTCAGAAGAGTTTCATTCCTGGAAAGATGGAACACAGGATTATTCACGTATCCCCAGAACACATACCAAGCTTGCCTGAGGCTTCACAACCATCTTCGGATCCGACAGCCCAAACCTCACCTCAACATGTACAGACGCAGCAGCCCCAACAGGGCAAGGAAACAGAAATATCAATGGAGCCCATGCTGTCAGACAGGCCAACTCCGAAGCCAAGAAGAAGCCTGAGGTCAGAAAGTGGATTGGCAGAATCACCAGCTGCAGCTGATCATCACATGACTCCACAAACTACACCCCAGGTTGATCGTGACGGCAAACTGCACTTAGATGCAATAGATGAAGTGTCGTGGAAGCCATTAAGTGATTCTGTAAAGGCAGAGAACTCTCCTGCAGCTGTGAGAAAGTTTGTCATGGAAGATGTGATCATATCTGGCTCCCATCTCATCCCGCACCCAAGAAGACAGGTTTACAGCGAGGCTGACAAAAGTAACCCACTTGTTGCTATAAACTCTGGTGACATGGGTACCTATGGTACCAGGTCGAACCTGGCCCATCTTAGCAAAGACCTTGAATCAGAGGGTGACATTGACTTTGACATATTTGCCGGTGGTGTTAATGGTGCAGATGGTGTTGGCACTGTGATAAGGCCTGTGTCCGAATCTTCACCCAAGCATGGGGGAGAACAAGCAGTTGCTGATGGCAACGAAAGCCCAGATGACTCGGGTTTTCCAAGTCCGGATGTTTCAAGGCAGATATTGGAGCAGTTCAAACGATCCAAGAGTGTGGAACATCTCCGACGTAAATCATGGGGTATGGTAGAGGATGAGTCAGTCTTTATGCCCATGCAATCCAAGAAGCCTGACTCTCCAGTCATGTCTTCACCTGTGCAGAGTCCGCCAATAATTCCAGATTCCCCAGTTGTTTCCCCACCTTCAATGGCGTTTCTCATGTCCAAGAAAGGATCAAAGAGTGTTCCAAACCTTGCTGGAATTGACGACTCGCCTTCCATCAAAGCACCTATCTCGCACACAAGAGAATCGGCAGCGATTGCTTCATCTCCAATAGTTCAAATGACACCAAAAGCTGGTGCTTCGCCACTTACCAAGAAACCATCTCGCTATACTAAGAAGTATTCAACAACTGCTTCATCTCCTGTGATAAAAGCTGCTGCCAAGGCGAAGGCTTCAGATTCCCAGCAAACAACACGCCAGGTCATACACACGGACATAGATGACGTGGTGGATTCGGCAGCAGCTTCAGAAACAGCACAGCTCTCAACTGCAGGACCTATGTCAGCCTCTGTTGAAAAGAAATCTCCTTCTGAGACAACATTTTCGGCTGGAGTCGAGTCATCTCCTGTGATATCCCAATCGCCTGTGATAACCCAATCTCCTGTTCCCATGATACCTGCATCACCCATGATAAAACAGGCACCTGCTATAGTTCAGTCTCCCACAGTTCAGCTTCACAAGACTGAAACTAGATCGTCAGAATTTCAACAGATTGATCAGTCCTCTGGTGTGACAATCTCAAAACGAGTTGAAGCAGCTCCTATCATATCAGCGTCACCAAAGATAGAAAGTCCTGTAATTATTAGTTCTCCTTCAGTGCAGATGACCAAGGACATGAGATCGTCCCAACCTGTCCACGCTCCTCCATTGATAGAAGAATCTCCTTCCATTCCAATATCACCCACAATTAAGGCCTCAGAACGCATAGACGCGTCTCCATTTATCAGCTCTCCTTCAGTGAAGACAACCATGGACATGAGATCGTCTCAACCTGTCCACGCTCCTCCATTGATAGAAGAATCCCCTTCCATTCCAATTTCGCCCACAATTAAGGCCTCAGAACGCATAGACGCGTCTCCATTCATAGAAGAATCTCCTTCCATTCCAGTGTCACCAGCTATCAAATCATCAGAACGAATAGATGCTTCACCAAGTATTTCTTTCCCAACACAATCCTCAACGATTCCACAATCTCCTACTCTCTCGTCTCCTTTGATCCCTGATTCACCAGTGATTCCCACTTCACCAACCATTCTACAATCACCGTCCTTGTCAGCACCGACAGCAGTACTTGCCTCGCCTACTGTTTCCATTCCAGACTCGCCAACAGTTTCAATGACCACTCCGCCAACTGCAGAAGACACGTCTTTCGAAGACCAATGGTCTTTTGGAAGCCAAAAGAAGCACAGATCTCTTAAGGAGATTAAGAGAAAATTCTCCAGCAAGAACTTTAAATCTATGCAAATGCCACCCACACCAAACATCGGACAGTTTGTTGTACCTCACAAATCGGTGCTCACAGCCAGATACAAAATCAACGCTTACAGGAAAAGGTTCCTTAGTGAAGGCAATCTCCTGGATGATTCCGAGAGCCAACTCAATGACCAATTTAATGAGCACAAAGAATCCCTAACAACAAAATACAAGTCCCCTCGCCGCCCGGGACAGAAAACCCCAAGCAGTTACCGCAGTCAGGATAACTTGGAGAGGTTCACTTTAGCCTATCCTAACTTCTTTTGGGAAGATTCAAGTGAAGGCAGACCTAGCATCGATGAACTTCACAAAAACTGCATTTTTACCCCAGAAGGCAGAAAAGATATTATGAACAAAACACTTTCAATTGAAAATTTGTCATTAGATCTTGGCGCTCATTTGAGACGCTATGGCTCAGTGACATCCTTATATGAGACTGACATTGATACGGGTGAAACATCTGAAACAATACCCTTCCCTGAAACTGATCTAGACCTTTGGTTCTCTTTGCAGCATCCAATAGAACGCGCTGTCAGTATGACGGACCTACGCAGTGAGCATTCCCACCGGATAGGGACAGGAAAGGGGAGATTTGCGCATCGTAATGTACCTAAGTCAAAGAGTCTTCAGACTCTTGAAACTAACCTCGATGATGAGGAAGATGAACTTAAGCGCGTACCATCAGTACATGAACTTCGTGTTACCAAATCCCTGTCTAAGTTAAATATACCAGACTGGTTTAAGAACTCTAGCCTATCTAAGAGTGGTAGTTGTATGTTAAGGCATGGCTCCACATCAACAATGTCCTCATGGGGCTTCAACCCTAGTCTGACATCATCTCCCTGCCCCTCTGTAACATCAACTGGAAATGTGGTTATCAAAACCCGTGTATCCCCTTCCAGTAGTATGAGACTTTTTAAATCCCCCAAGTTTGCCTCAGTACCAACCTTACCCAAAACCCCAGAAGAGAGACTACCTAAAGCACCCATTAAACTGCCTAGCGAAATGTTAAAGAAAAATGACAAACCAAAAGGTTTGGAAAAAATCCCAATAGTGCCTTTTGCTCAAATTAGGGCAATGTTTGAAGCCAAAGCAGCTAATGAACGAGCTAGAAAGAAGGACAGTGCAGTGCGCCAAGACTCCGTGTCATCAAAAGTTTCAATGAAAGCTGCGAGCCCTGTGCCTGTAGTGACTGTGTCCCCTAGTGAAATTGTTCTTCTTGAAAGTAGCCCAAAGCGACCAAGGAGTCCCCCCGTTATTGCCCCAGATCAAGCTAGAATTTCATATGCTCCAGTACTACAAAAGGGACCTTCAACAAATGCAGGAGACACTTCTCAACCATGGAGGCGACCACTGAGTCCGAGTACTGTAAGTCCTGTAAGTCCTCAAATGGGGCTTAGTCCCACTGAAACCACTATTCCTCAGAGAACTACGAGCCCGTTAGAATCAGCTGGTTCTCATGGATCCACAAGTCCCACGGCATCCACAAGTCCTCAAAGGCCCCTCAGTCCTGCTGAAAGCTCAAGTCCTAGATCAATTAGTCCTCTTGGACCATTGAGCGGTCCAGAAGATGCAAACAGATCGTTTAGCCCTTCAGACAGGATGCGACCAATAAATCCAGACGGTCCTCATAATCGGTCCATGAGTTCCACAGGATCTATGAGCCCTCCAAGGTCAATTAGCCCTGGGGGGATTCTCAGCCCGAGAGGATATAGTGCATATGGCAACAACGAGCAGCCAGCTAGCCCAGACAGCCCCCCACAAAGTCCAGTCGAAAAGGGTGGACCAAAGGGCATCCTTGGCCCAACAGTGAGATTCGTAGAGACAGAGAAAATAGAAGTTAAGGATAACAAGCCTACAAAACCATCTGGTAAAAAGACAGACTTTTTCAAACGTTTGCAAGTGTTCCAACGGCCCGACAAAGATAAGAAAACCAAAGCCGAAGACTCATCGAAATCCCCACCACAGAAACAGGTACCAGCCTCCAAGCTCAAATCTGCGTTTGAACCCTTCTCACGGAATTCCAAATCTATAGAATCTGCCCCAACAATTCAAGCCCCAAACTCTCGAGCAGTCCCTAAATCTCCCACGCGCACCGAAGCCGAAACCCAACTAGTGGAGGAAGCACCCGTGTTACAATCACCCAATTCACAATCTATAGAGTCCGCCCCCACCCTAAAAGCACCTTCCCGTATGGCACCAGAGCCCTCAAGGAACTCAAGTGAAATTTTCTCAAACGATCGCAATTCTCATACTCGGCAAGAGCCTCGCAATGGGGCTTCAGAGCCCCCGGCGAGTCCAGTCAGGGTAGGTAATCCCGGGCAGAGCCTGCCCACGCCTGTGCTAACACCCACACCATTCTCTAGATCTTCAACGTCTGAAGAACAGAAACGAAGCATGAAAGGTAAGGTCTTGTTTTCTATATATTTTCACAGAACAGATAAAGTTGTGGTCAGTTGATAGACCATATGTAAATTACATAATGGATATTGATTCTCTTTAATCTCACTTGTCCTATTGTCTTTATGTGGTATATGCTTCTTTGCACATGCTTTTGTCTGAGATGGAGGTTTGTTAATATTGTGGTTATGTTTTTGTCGTAAAATCAGCTCATGTACTCCCGGGTGTGTTTCTAGGTTTGTCGAGGACCCTTATCGTGCTCTTGGGTTTCAGTGAGTGAGTATGGTTTTACGCCGCTTTTAGCAATATTCCAGCAATATCACGGCGGGGAACACCAGAAATGGGCTTCACACATTGTGCCCGTGTGGGGAATCGAACCCGTGTTTTCGTCGTGACGAGCGAAAGCTTAGACCACTAGGCTACCTCACAGAACTCTCTTGGATTTTATCACAGTGGTAAACGTCTGAGACGCATCAAACCCGTGATGTTCCAGGTTAGAATTGATCTTCAGTAACCCATGCTTGTCGTAAGAGGCGACTAACGGGATCGGGTGGTCAGGCTCGCTGACTTGGTTGACACATGTCATCGTATCCCAATTGCGTGGATCGATGCTCATGCTGTTGATCACTGGATTGTCTGGTCCAGACTCGATTATTTATAGACCGCCGCCATATAGGTGGAATATTGCTGAGTGCGGCGTAAAGCTAAACTCACTCACTCACTGAGACGCATCAATTCGGATGCTCCTCTCGCTGATACCACTTGATATAACTCTGATTGCTAAAGTCAGCATTAAACCCAAATCACTCACTCACTCGTCCATTGAAGCATTTACACTGTGACGTTCACCATCTTCCAACAATGGAGGTTCTAAGATTAACTTTCTTAATTCGATCTGATGTTTAATTTTCTGCCTCAGTCGCGATAGGGCTGCAATACTGCCGCTGTGGCTGTAAACATTAACTCACTCACTCTCTAATTTTCTGCCATGCTGAAATGGTCGCATCTTTCAATTACTGAGACTTCTCAGTGTTCATTGTGAGATTTGAATATCCCTGCTATGACCTTTGACCTTCTGAAACATGTGACAACATACTGCAGTCATGACAACTCTGAAAGGTCTGTTAATTATGATGTACCCATGTGGATGAAACGTAAATATCAAATTACATCTCACCTCAGACTAACAGTAAATATGCGGTGTACAGAACTATGGGTTTGTTAAGACGCCCTACTCGAAGTGCTCCCGCCATCCCTTGTATTGTGAGCCTAATGCGAGTGAGTGAGTGAGATGGGTTTAACTCCGCTTTGAACAGTATTACAGTTATATCGTCGAGTATCAGTAGAGTGTGGGAAGACAACGATGTCGGCCTCGAACGTCAACCCCTGTCTTGAAACCTATGAGCACGGGCATGGAGCTGTCAAACCTAGAAACATAGACGAGGTAGACCGGAATTCGAACCCACCTTCATTAAATACTATGCACTGCTTTATCAGAACAAATCGAGAAAGCTGAAGTGCCTATTACATATTTTATTTTCGAAATTCTTTCACTTAGCTTCGCGTTTTCAAGGTGTTTAAGTGTATTGAGTGTACATTCTGAGAGCATAGCTTCTCTAGTCTAAAGGCTTGGTATACACATAACACTATACAGGTCTTTAATTCTCATTAGCAGTGAAATCAGGATAAGATGTGCTAGTTTTCATCTGCAAAATCAAATTTGGAAAATGTATTTGTTTTTCCTTTTAGATGTATATTTCAAAGAGCCTATTTTGCAAAATAAGCATAGCAAAGATATACAATTCATTATTACAATGGCATAAATATTTCCTGCGTAGAAATATTAATGAACATCAGTGCATATTGTCAGTGTTTGTTCAGCTGTTTTTGTTGTTGTCAATTAATGTGATCAAGCGTGGAAACATTCCTATTAACCAATACAGTTGTGTGGTTAGTGAATGTCACGATCTGGCTAATTGCAATTTGAGGCGTGTGATCTTCAAGTCGCTAGGTAGTTACGACTGAATGGCTTATGTCACCAGAAATACGAATCAAATTTTATCCAAGTTCATTTTTTGTTCGATATCTCTTCCAACAACTGAAAAATGCTAAAATATTGCATTCGTTTTCTCGGTGTGCAGTCAGTATTGGATCCAGATGTCTTTATCTGTTGTTAAGCTTTTAGGACTTTGAAAATCATTTTCGCGATACAAAACCTGACATAATGTATTTTTCTGATTTGAGTACATGCTGTCTCTGTCTATGAATAGACCGCGATTAACAGCGAATTTCATCTAATATGAAAACCATGAATCCTAAAACGGTGACTGGATTCCATTGTGTTGTGGAACGGGTTCCAAGATTGTACATGGACATGTATCCAAAATCACAGGCCCTTTAATTTGTGATGCACATCTCATTAACTTCCCATAGATTCTGACCAGTTGTTTTCTATGCCAGCGTCCTTCCTCTATACCTCTGCTATAACGCCACTGCACGTTACACACTACTGCCAAACAAACCACGGAAGCATCTCGTCCTGACACTTGCATAGCTGGACCTGCTTAACGCGTGGAGTCGGGTGGATGGATACACGTGAGGACGCGAGTTAGGAATGGTCTTCAGCTAACCATGCTTGTCGTAAGAGGCGACTAACGGGATCGGGTGGTCAGGCTCGCTGGCTTAGTGTACCAATTGCGTATATAGATGCTCATGATGTTGATCACTGGATTGTCTGGTCCAGACTCGGACTATTTACAGACCCGCCGCGATATAGCTGGAAAATTGCTGAGTGCAGCGTCAAACAACACACAAATAGTCGGGGTGGAAGGTTTGCTTGTGGGGCAGTCGAATATAGCGCATTCACAAATACGACTGGAACCATGTAAATCACGAACTGTGTACTCGCGCCACGCACTGTTCCGCTGAAATGTTCCGTTTACACTCGGAAAACCTCGTGTCCAAAATGCGGTGCTTCTGTGGTTCGTTTTGCAGTAGTAGCTAGTATGTAGTACGTCGCACGAGCCCCGGTCCTGCATGTGGAAGGTAGGTATATATAACTGCAGTAACTGGACATAGGATGCCTTGTAAGTATCTAACCAATCTATTTCCTGAACCCCAAGTAATCTCAAGCTGTGCAGCCGCTGATGTATCTGCACCATGGTGATGGTAATGGCAGTGCAAGGTGTCGCTCGCCCTGCGGCGTCGTGGAACGGCCTACACGACGTGAAGTAGGGCTGACGTCGCATTCAAGATGACTGCACATGGCAACGTGCATGCACGTGTTTATTTGGGATAAGTCTGGTGTTATAGCGAGATAACACCGAGATACCATGCCTCAGTTTAAACATAAATAACCCAATAACAAACAGTAAAATTACTCGGAGCCGACCGGTCCCTGTTTAATTCCCGTCATATCTTGCGCCAGGAAGGGCAACAACAAATAGCATGTTTTAGCGTAATGCGGTATGCCGGACCCCACGTCCTGCTTTCTGGTCACGCGGTTTAGCTTTATCCACTAGACAACAGTGTAGGCATCTCGATGACATAATAACCGTGTATACTAGATTATATAATTATATGACTAATAAATTGAATCAACATCGACGTAATAATTGTCACAACCACAACTTGTAAATATACGAATAAGTAAATAATGTTAAGAGCATTCTGTGTTTATAAAGGTTATCGCATCTCAGTTCTATTACATGACAAATACCCCGGGCACATTCGTCACTAAAGCTTCGTTTTCAATCGAGTTTGCATGTCACGACTGTGCAATCACATTAATCTGTTCATCTTGAAACGAGATCATATCTTGTTCTCGATTCACCTTGTTTTGTGCCGTTTCAAAGTAGGCTATAGTGTATAAGTAATATACATATTTCTCTACCCAGTTTTAGACACCCCATTCGCTCTTCACGATAAACCTGCGTTCGATTCCCCACATGGTTACAATGTGTGAAGCCCATGTCTAGTGTCCCCCGCCGTGAAATTGCTGGAATATTACTAAAACTTAACTCATTCACTCACGTGTACTTTCATTGTGTTACTGGTTGTGGATTTCAGACATGAGTGAGTGAGGGAGAGCAATAGGACAGATTGGGATGATGACATCACTTCTGAAACGACATTATGGCGCGGACGAAACTATGAAACGAAACGAAACGAAAATTCCGCGCTCATTATAAAAATACAATAGAGATGCACAGGATGGGCGTGGATGAATTATTAATTACTTCTGATTTTCATTATTCAACTGATATATGATAAACAGAATCAGACGGTCACAGTGAGAGACTAGGCAAATAGCATACTGGGCTTCATTACTATAAAATAAGCTGTAACGGTTTCTCGTATATATTACAATATCCAAATAAAACCAGATTACAGCAGTGTTTGACAGTGCATGGAATAAGATAAGTTATTTAAAAATGAAAAACTTTAATCAGATAAGTTTGTCTCAGAATGAATTCTTCACATAAGTCCAGAACATCGATTGTATATGCATCTCGGCACAGCGTGACATGTGTGTAATCAATGACGTGTGTATACTTCGTGTGTATGTGCAAACACTGGCATACAGCCACAACCTGCATCACGAACATTTGTGTTTGTTCAGAATCAGTTGCAATCTGTCTGTCTGTAGGCAGGGCACATCGTATCGTGTTTGAACAATAATCACAGCGGATCATCAATGTGAAAATAGCTCGAGATACAGCGCTATCGCCCACCATGAGCATGTGTGGCAGCTTAACCACATGTACGCTGAAACCCCGATATAACGCCTCGAATATATTGTTGAACAAATTATTTGGATGGATTATTTGTTTAAGGACCTCCATCAGTCTTTGCTTATATGCCATGCGCTTTATAACACTTAACCGTGGATTCATCAGTGATCAGTGATTCATCTGGTGGTCAGGCTCGTCGACTTCGTGGACATTTTGACGTATTTTGTCACCTTACACGTCCTAAATGCATGTTTTTCGTTTGAAAAATAGA